TCGTAAAATTTATTACATTTTCAAAGGCTTTAGTTTACACACACACAACTATAACTGAATAGAGCTTAAACATCTTCGATTTTTTTACTTGCATTTGGGTGAGGTGATGATACGGCCCTATTGGGTCGCAACTGGGGTTCTTCTCTGATGTTATTAGAGTTTGGGTATCCGGCCCCAAGTTAGTAGTGGCTTTCAAGGGGTGTGTTCCGTAACGCAAGTAAATTAAAGGGGAAGGGATTCAAATACACTAATTTAAATATATATATTAACCACCACCATAAATAAATATCTCAGTCACTCGCTGGGACTATAACTACACTTATATACAATAACTTGTCTTCCGCCGAAGACACAGGATGCTCTACGGTGCTCAAGATGAGTAGCCCTGGTTCTCTTCTCATGGCCTCACGATGAATCCTTTGATTCTCAAGGCGAATCTACCCCGGCCACAGGCCAGCCAAATCACAGTCCCACTGGGTGCACCGTCGTGGAGGCCTTCAACCACAAATCCAGCCTGTAGCTGGCAGGTTCCGATCAGCTCCGCTGCGTAGGCCACTCCACGACCGATACTAGGGTTGTGAGCCCTAGGCAGGAGCCTTGTGTGATTCCGCTGATCACTCTCCTCTCTATAGCACCACAGTGGCTAGTCTCTTCCACCAGTCAACCCCCGGGTACGACAGAGTTCCTCAACTCTGCCACGTCACAGGCAGGCTAACACTTTCAGCAGTGTTCGTCTGGGAGCAACTCACAGCTTCTGCAGCAAACACGTGGAGAGACTATGGCTGCCTAGGGTAGACTGCCCATCGTCCAATCCAGCAGTCCCAGGTCGACTCTGTAATCAGACACGTCATCAGTACTAGGGACACCCAGGGGCACCTCACTTACAGGCTTAGACACAAACGCCCACCTGTCCACTCCATAGATGGCGTTGCTGTCTAAGCGTCACCTCATCAGAGGTCAGCAGTGGCTATGTTACGAGCTGATCAAGATGGGGAACCAGCCCCTGTGGCCGGTATATCTCGTCCTCACTAGATGGCGTCGTCCATTTGGAGGGGGTTTCGGGAGCTGACTTACAGATGGCGTGGACGTCACTGCTCCGTGCTACAACGCTGGGCTCGAGCCGAAACAGGTGAAAACAAACTTTCAACACAAGCCAGGACATGAAACAATGGGTATTGAAGGTAAGAATGGAAGTAATTGCAGAGGGCCTATTGGCCCATATTTCTTGATGCTTCTATATTGGAGCAGATTCTTGAAGTGGGTAGAATATAGTTGTGCATTAATTGGCTGTTGATTGCTGGTGTTGACTTCTTGATGTGTAGTGCCTCGCAAATGTCAAGCCGCCTGCTATCGCTGTATCTATGGATGATTTCTGTGTTGTTTGCTAAGATTTCTCTGGTGATGGTTTGGTTGTGGGAAGAGATTATATGTTCCTTAAAGGAGCCCTGTTGCTTATGCATCGTTAATCGCCTGGAAAGAGATGTTGTTGTCTTGCTTATATACTGAGTTTTTTGAGGCTTACAGTCCCCAAGAGGGCATTTGAAGGCATAGACGACGTTGGTCTCTTTTAAAGCGTTCTGCTTTGTGTCTGGAGAGTTTCTCATGAGTAGGCTGGCCGTTTTCTTGGTTATATAGTAAATCGTCAGTTGTATCTTCTGATTTTTGTCTGTAGGGATAACGTTTCTATTAACAATATCTTTCAGGACCCTTTCCTCCGTTTTATGAGCTGTGGAAAATAAGTTCCTGTAAAATAGTCTAATAGGGGGTATAGGTGTTGTGTTAGTTGTGTCTTCAGAGGTTGCATGGCGTTTCACTTTCCTTCTTATGTCTTTAACGAAACCATTGGAGAAGCCGTTGTTGACTAGGACCTGCCTTACCCTACAGAGTTCTTCGTCGACTTGCTTCCATTCTGAGCTGTGGCTGAGAGCACGGTCGACATAAGCGTTAACAACACTCCTCTTGTACCTGTCTGGGCAGTCACTGTTGGCATTTAGGCACATTCCTATGTTTGTTTCCTTAGTGTAGACTGCAGTGTGGAAACCTCCGCTCCTTTCCATGACTGATACATCTTGAAAGGGCAGTTTCCCATCCTTCTCCATCTCGTAAGTGAAACGCAACACAGAATTCTGCTCAAATGCCTCCTTCAGCTCCTGCAGATGTCTGACATCAGGTACCTGTGTAAAAATGTCGTCAACATACCTGCAGTATATGGCTGGTTTCAAGTTCATGTCGACTAAGATTTTTTGCTCGATGGTACCCATGTAGAAGTTCGCAAACAGGACACCTAGGGGAGAACCCATGGCGACCCCATCTACTTGCTTATACATGTGTCCATCCGGGCTCAAGAAGGGTGCCTCTTTAGTACAAGCTTGGAGTAGTTTCCGTAGAATTTTTTCTGGTATGTCAAGAGGAGTACAGGCCGGATCACGATACACTCTGTCCGCTATCATCCCGATTGTTTCATCCACAGGTACGTTGGCAAACAGTGATTCTACGTCCAACGAGGCTCTTATCCCTGTGCCCCGTGTTCCCCGCAGTAAGTCAACAAAATCCTTTGGAGACTTCAGGCTAAAGGCGCAAGGGACATAAGGAGTCAGCAAGCCGTTGAGTCGTTTCGCCAGTCTGTACGTGGGTGTGGGTATCTGGCTGATGATTGGCCGAAGTGGGTTTTCAGGCTTATGTGTCTTGACATTTCCATACGCATATCCAGGTTTATATTCCCCAATAATCTTTGGCAGGTGGAGTCCGGATTTCTTGGCGTTCACAGTTTCGATCAATTTGTTGACCTTTGCTTTCAATTCGGCTGTAGTGTCCTTCGTTACCCTTTGGAATTTAGTTTGGTCAGAGAGTATGAGGTTCATTTTCGCCAGATATTCGTCTTTTTAAGAATGACGTATATTGGCGACTTGTCACCTCTCCTGACAACTATCTCCTTGTTCTCACGAAGGCTCTTAGCTGCCGCTTTGAGCTCGGGGGACAATATGGTGCTTCTGTAGTTCAATAGCATTGAACTAATGTGTGTGAACATAGTGTGTCCAAGATCTCTTTCTCTGTTTCACAACCTGGCTCTGTGTAACAATAAACCTAATTTGTTTTTTCACAGATAAGTACACCTGTGAGTAAAAAAAATACTGTCGGCTGTAAAAATATTTATGCGCCTATTATTTAAATACAAATTTATAAAGAAACAAATATATCTGACTTATGTTTATCCTGTTTTTTGTACTATATATCCAAAGAAGTGAAATTTCAATCAGAAATGAACCCAAATTAAGACATACTGCACAATTTAATGATGATTCAAAAGAGACATAACTAACTTTACAAATCAATATGAGATCATAATGATCCATGGTTAAGATTTATGATTTAATAAGGATAATACTGGTAATAATAATTAATAATAATACATGATATAATTTAAAACCTTTATTACTGAGGTATCTCAAGAAGGACTGAAAACAGATGTTTTTTTCACCTACAGGGTTATAAACCCATGGAACCGCTTCCCGCTGAAGCCGTATATGCCAAAACTGTTAAACTTCAAAATCCGGCAAGAAATTAATATTAGGACAATTGGCAGGACCTTTAACAAGCAGCCGGCTTTTTGTCCTTGTCGAGGCCACTAGAGAGTTAGTGGCCCTTGGGTAAATTCAGGTAAATATAAACAATAATTGTCAGTGCATCGTGTCTCAATCCTCCAAGAGACAATCATAGCCACACAAAATCTCTTAGAATTACGTAGGTAAAAAAAAATATAACATATTTGTTTACTTTAAAATTGGTGCTGACTGTGGAAGTTGAAAAACATAGTTCTACTTCGAAATAAACAAATTTTATAAGAAAATACGACGTAAATAGGTGGCACAAGACGGCCAATAAATAGGTGGCACGAGACGGTCGATAAGCCCCGATGAGCCGTTGAGATTGGCTAAACCTGTAAGATGAGCAATGTTACCTTCTCTCTGATTGGTCAAGCGAAATGCTCTAGCTAGTGACATCTATCGAACCTTAAGTGAACTACTTGGAAATTGCTAATAACTGTGTGCGAACACATACCTGAATCGTACGTACGACTTTTCTTACCGAGTACTTACGAACCTTTGTAGCACACGTACTAATGAAGAAATACATGGCGCTTCGTGAATCTAGGTCCAGCTCTCCACGGGCCCAAGAGGGCGCCTTGAACCCTCACTCTGACTCCAAAGTCAAGGCCAGAATCACCAGCCTGGAGGTCCTCGCTAGAATGAATAGGTGGCCGGTCACATCGTCCTCGTGACATTTTCTAAACCAGGCAACTGCCGATGACATAGTCCGTGTAGTACAGAATCATCCCACTCCTCGGTGGTTCGCACCCTGAATTGCCGTTGACAGTGTGCCCAGATAAAACAGGAACTTGCGTGTTTCAACAAGATCTCAAGGCCTGCATCTTGACCAAGGTTGTGACCTGACCCGGTCCATTATAATGGCTGGCTTACTGGCATTTACAAGCCATCCTCAAGGACCTGACCTTCCTTAATCTCCTTGACACACGCTCGCTACATCCAGGTGCACACTGGTAGCTAAACCACTTCAGTCATTCACTATACTCATTTTTGAAGGACTTAAAAAATTCTCATGCTAAATATATATATAATATTTTAGGTCACTGCACTGTCTCTGTTTATCATTCTGTCTGTGTCTGTTTCTCCATGCATAGAGAACATAACAAAATTTCTGAGAACTTTTTAATTTTACTATCAATAGATTTTAAAACATATTTTACAGCAGGATAATTTTGTCTGTGCATATAATTCCTAAGAATATTAATTATGAAAATCTATAAAATGTTTAACATAACTAGGATTCTAATGTTGACAACATTCACTCTAGTTAAACTATAAATTTTGAGTATAATTATTTGTAGCAATTTTTTGTATTTTAAAACCAGGTTTTCAGTATTGAAAGTAAAATTAATACTAAAGAGTCCCAATGTAACTAAGACTACGACGTTCTGGCAGGGACTTTACACCATCTACGTGGAGACGCCGCACCGTGAACGCCAGAGTGTCACCTTCGAGGTGGAGGACTTTGTGCTGCCGCGCTTTGAGGTGACGGTGAAGCCTCCCAGTTACATCCTGGCCTCTGACCAGACCTTCACCTTCACCGTGTGTGCCAAGTGAGTCACGCTGTGTTATGCTCTGTCACACTGGTCTTGTGTCACACAGGTACTGTTGTGAGATTATCCTTTTTAGAGGTAAATAGGTTACACGAAATCTCAGTCAGGAAAGGACTGAACTAGCATCAAAACCAATGCTGAGGGCAGATTATACTCTAATGACTGACCAGGGATGCATAGAGCAGCTGCATTAGTCCAAATCCTTGGCACTCCTTATCCACTGGGTCGTGGAGCTTCTGAGACCTCAGAGGGAGGTCGTCAGAGTAGCTCATAAGGTCCTTATATCAAGTAGAATTTATTTGATGTGTGCGGTCATGAACGCAGTTCAAATCCAAGTAATCCAGGCAACAAAAAAGGATCACGTTTATAACCGAAATAACGGCAAAGTCAGTTTCCTCGAAGAAACTTTCTAACTCACATGTACCTATTTTCCTGCTAGGTAACAGTGGCATCAAGGTGAAATTCTGCCCATATCTTTCAGCCATCACCGGGGATCGATCCCCAGTCCCTAGATCCTCGCATCCAGAACGCTGTCCACTCAGCCACCAGGCGCCCTAACGTCACTCTGTTCCTGTCATGCTGGTCTTTTGTCACTCTGGTCCTGTCACGCTGGTCCTGTGTAACACTGGTCATGTGTCACACTGGTCCTGTATCACACTGGCCCTGTGTCAAACTGGTTATGTCACACTGGTCCTGTATCACAATGGTCCTACGTCATGCTGGTCCTGTGTCACACTGGTCCTGAGTCACGCTGGTTCTGTGTCACGCTGATCCTGTGTCACACTGGTCCTGTGTCACGCTGGTTCTGTGTCACGCTGATCCTGTGTCACACTGGTCCTGAGTCATACTGATCCTGCGCCAACCTGGTCCTGTGTCACCCTGGTCCTACGCCACACTGATCCTGTATCACACTGGTCCTGTGTCACTCTGATCCTGTGTCACGCTGGTCCTGCGCCACACTGGTCCTGTATCACACTGGTCCTGTATCACACTGGTCCTGTGTAACCCTGATCCTGTGTCTCGCTGGTCCTGTATCACACTGGTCCTGTGTCACGCTGGTTCTGTGTCACACTGGTCCTGTATCACACTGGTCATGTGTCACGCTGGTCCTGTGTCAATCTGGTCATGTGTCACGCTGGTTCTGTGTCACACTGGTCCTGTATCACACTGGTTCTCTGTCATACTGGTCCTGTGTCACACTGGTCCTGTATAACACTGGTCCTGTGTCACACTGGTTCTCTGTCATACTGGTCCTGTGTCACACTGGTCCTGTATAACACTGGTCCTGTGTCACTCTAGTCCTGCGCTACGCTGGTCCTGTGTCACGCTGGTCCTGTGTCACGCTGGTCCTGTGTCACGCTGGTCCTATGTCACGCTGGTCCTGTGTCACGCTGGTCCTGTGTCACGCTGGTCATGTGCCACGCTGGTCCTGTATCACACTGGTCCTGTGTCACGCTGGTCCTGTGTCACGCTGGTCCTGTATCACACTGGTCCTGTGTCACAATGGTCCTGCGCCACGCTGGTCCTGTGTCACGCTGGTCCTGTGTCACTCTGATCCTGTATCACGCTGGTCCTGTGTCACACTGGTCCTGTGTCACACTGGTCCTGTATCACACTGGTCCTATGTCACGCTGGTCCTGTGTCACTCTGGTCCTATGTCACACTGGTCCTATGTCACGCTGGTCCTGTGTCACACTGGTCCTGTATCACACTGGTCCTATGTCACACTGGTCCTATGTCACGCTGGTCCTATGTCACGGTGGTCCTATGTCACGGTGGTCCTGTGTCACGCTGGTCCTGTGTCACGCTGGTCCTGTGTCACGCTGGTCCTGTGTCACAATGGTCCTGCGCCACGCTGATCCTGCACAACGCTGGTCCTGTGTCACGCTGATCCTGCACCACGCTGGTCCTGTGTCACAATGGTCCTGCGCCACGCTGATCCTGCACAACGCTGGTCCTGTGTCACGCTGATCCTGCACCACGCTGGTCCTGTGTCACGCTGATCCTGCACCACGCTGGTCCTGTGTCACGCTGATCCTGCACCACGCTGGTCCTGTGTCACGCTGATCCTGCACCACGCTGATCCTGCACGACGCTGGTCCTCTGTCACACTGGTCCTGCGCCACGCTGGTCCTATGTCACGCTGGTCCTGTGTCACACTGGTCCTGCGCCACGCTGGTCCTATGTCACGCTGGTCCTGTGTCACACTGGTCATGAGCCACGCTGGTCCTATGTCACGCTGGTCCTGCACCACGCTGGTCCTGTCTCACGCTGGTCCTGTGTCACACTGGTCCTGTGTCACTCTGGTCCTGTGTCACACTGGTCATGTGTCACTCTGTTCCTGCGCCACGCTGGTTCTGTGTCACACTGGTCCGGTGTCATTGTCAGGAATATTGCTTACTGTTATGGGTGGTAATGAGTATTAATGGGAAGGGCCAACAGCTACAATCAGGACGTATCAAAATTAGTGGAGATCAGATAAGCCCGGCCCCCAATAAGAACACAAAACCATATTAATTTAGTGGCTTTAAGAAAATATGTCAGTCTAGCGGTTGATCATTGATCCCCTACACAGGAAGAATCCTTTAAAAACTAACTTATTTATTAAACCCTCTTAACAACCCCCCATATACATTAACAACAATAACAATAACAACTTTACCACACTATCTTACGTTAAAAGCCTTGGTCCACATAAGCAAGATACAAGGTTTTACAATTAGGACAAGCTAGGGTAAAGTCTACTTGTAAAGAACTCGAAAGCTTGAAGCATCTTGGGGTAGTAAGCCCCACATGGTACCCTATCATAACACAAACACTTAGGGATGTCCAAAACACTGGCTTATACTACACAATATCTATACAAATCTCACAAGCCTAGCTAGTAGCACGGTTACACAGAATGATACTTAACATAGCAGTTACGGTAGCTTAAGGTAATGGAAAGGGAGAAGGAGGAGGAGAATAGAGACAGAGCCACACAGGGAAGATGTTGTCACAACCACAGCCCGAACAGAGAAGAAGGACCCAGCGTTCTCCTGCCTCCCACTCACTTGCTGCCGGACAGATATTCAGTTGATTGTACAGCAGACATCAACCCAAGTTTTCTCAGACCTTCCTTACTATTTCCCTTAAACATTCTAAGAATAGTTGATAATTAGCTCACTGTTATAATTAATCAACAACAAGCTCAAGAGTCTGAATGCTCTATGAGAAACAAGATTCATCTTACGTCTGGCAAAGAAGATAGGAACAAATGGGCATCAGCACTCCTATCCATTAATGTAAAGTAATCATTTAGAGCTCAATTTGACCTCTGGTTTCCAACTGAGGAACCCAGGGTGAACTCCTCCCCCCTTCAGAGAGAAAAAAATGTGGCTACTAGAATAGTAGTCATATTTTTTGTAAGAGTAAACAGAGAATAAAAAGTGAAATCTATGCAATAAAAGAAAATAAAACAAAAAACAAAAATTTATCTGCAAGAAAAAGCACAAAGGAATTCTCTGAAAAAAAAGCACACAAAAACACATTTTCTGAAAGAAAAAGCACATGCAAAAGGAATTCTCTGAAAGAAAAAGCACATACAAAAAAACAAAAAAACGGGAAGTAAATAAATTTGACACAGAGCATTTAGTGTCACAGGAGAACCTAAAAAAAATAACTAAAGCATGACAGTTGGTATATGGCTTCCTGTGGCTCAGATGTATGTTATCTTCTTGAGGTTATCTTGAGATGATTTTGGGGCTTTTTAGTGTCCCCGCGGCCCGGTACTCAACCAGGCCTCCACCCCCAGGAAGCAGCCCGTGACAGCTGACTAACACCCAGGTACCTATTTTACTGCTAGGTAACAGGGGCATAGGGTGAAAGAAACTCTGCCCAATATTTCTTGCCGGCGCCTGGGATCGAACCCAGGACCACAGGATCACAAGTCCAGCGTGCTGTCCATTCCGCCGACCGGCTCCCAGGTAATGTTACCATGTTATATACCTAATACCTCCCATGTTACTCAGGTAACTGAGACAGAGCGTCGGCAATCACGTTGAGCCGGCCCAGTAGGTGTGTAATGGAAACATTGAAGTCCTGTAGGTACAATGCCCACCTGAGGATGCGTTTATTTTTCTCCTTCATTTGGTTTAGGAACACTAGTGGGTTATGGTCCGTGTACACTTCCACTATATTTCCTGTTAGGTATACTTCAAACTTTTTACATGTTAACACTAGTGCCAATGCCTCTTTTTCTAACACTGAATAATTGCATTGTGCCTTGTCAAATTTCACTGAGTAATAGTACACTGGGTGGTCCACTTGATCATCCCCAGTTTGCAACAACACTGCACCAGCACCCGAGTCAGACGCATCAACATGAATTTTAAATGGTCGGTCGAACCTTGGACTAGCGAGCACTGGGGCGGGAGCTAAGATCAATTTCAAATTTTTAAACGCCTCTGCACAGTCTGTTGACCACTTAAATTTAACAGTCTTCCGCAACAAGTCTGTGAGAGGAGTGGCGACACTGGAAAAGTTCTGACAAAAGCGTCAGTAGTACGCACACATACCGATAAACCTTTGAACGTCCTTTTTAGACCAGAGCACTGGATACTCCAGAATGGCACTGATTTTATCTTGCCGAGGTAACACTTTTCCTTGGTCCACTTCGTAACCGAGGTACGTCACTGTGCCTTGGCCAAAATGACACTTTTTTGCATTTAAAGTTAAATTTGCACTTATCAGAACTGTGAACAACTGGCATAACCTAGCTATGTGGTCAGTCCAATTACTATCAACAAGCACAATGTCTTCTAAATACGCCCGACAATTTGGCACACTAGTGAGCAGAGAGTTCATTAGTGTCTGAAACATGGCAGGGGCATTACGCAAGCCGAACGGTAACACTTGATACTCGAAAACACCATCGGGTGTTACAAACGCAGTTAGTTGTTTGGCACGTTCTGTGAGCGGGATCTGATTATAACCTCTCGAGAGGTCAAATTTCGAGACGT